GTGTGTATGTTAAAATATTTTAATTGGCTATTTATATAGCCCATATTATAGAAAATAAAATTAAATATTTTATATATTACATTGGTCAATTTTAATAAAATTAAAATTTATAAAAATTAAAACTAAAATCCAACAATAAATATAAAAGAACTCTATAATAAACCAATTAAAAGAGTTTGAATTTTGGTCGATTGATCATGATTTTTTTTTTTTTTGAATGCGTGGCCTAATAGTTGGATAATTACGGGTTTAGAAATTAAAGAATTACGCCGTGACAGTCTGAGTCAAATAAAGAATATGAAAGTTGATAGTAATTTGATAGTTGTGCTTGGAATATTGAAGTGTTGAAGGATTGACTTCCAATTGATGAGCAACAACATAAAGAATCACAGTCAGAAAATTATATTGAGTAAAAATTGTTACAATATATATAGTTTATTAAATTATCATATCCCAAGGCTCAAATACATCTATATGTTTTTAAAAATTATAAACTATAAGATTAAAAAATATCTTGTTAAACAAAATCTTAATTATTTTTCACAATAGTCTAACGTAAGATCGTATAAAAGAAAATATAAAGAGTTAAATATAAGTTTAAAATACTTTATTTATTGTAAGAGATTGTCCAATGGCTATGTTGGCTTGGACGTGGATAATGACATAAGGCAACTTTTTTTTCAAATCCAACATGCATGAGTATTTCATATTACAATTCTATTATTGGAATAAAAATAATGAAATGTATATTAAATAATGAGATAATTGTGATGTTAAATGAATGAATTCAGTAGTTATCTATACTACGAGCCATGCTTTACAATTTTGGAGGAATTAAGTGGAGCATTATAGTGAGTTTATTCAAACAAGGATGTATTAGAATGATCTTTGAAATCGAGCCAGACATTATGAGCAGACAACAATTGACATTAATCTGAAAGTGATTACAAGGAAACACCAAATTATTATTACTTGAAACAAATATTGGTTATAGAGTTTTGATGCACGCAAGAACTTATATTAAAAATATTTTTGTTCGCTGTAAATATCTCAAATTTAATTTTTAATTTTTATTAAAAAAATATTATTTGATTTTTTGCAATTTTTTTATTCATACAGTTTTAATCCCAGTTATTTTCTAAAATTTTGAAAATTGAATAATTAACCTTAAATTTTTAAATTTTTGAATAATTTTTTATACGTGTTTAAAATACTATAAAATATTTCTTTACTAAATTTTAGAATTTTTAAAAATAAAATGAGTTTTTTAAATTTTACAAAATATTGATGAAATAATAAAATCTTAATTTAAAAATTAAATTTTTAATTTTTTTTTTAATAAACTTTTATAACATTCTAAACATATCTATAAAATAATTATTTAAAAATATACATCAGATTAACAACGTAGATTACAACTACACACATTATAATTTTGTAAAAATTAAAACATGTCATATTTTTTTATAGGGACTAAAAATAAAATTTGATAATTTATAAAAATCAAAAATATATTTAATTTTTATTTATTTATTTTCCAATCGATTTTGAAAAAAAAAAAACTTATAATTATAGTTTTTTTGGTTATCTTTTCGGACTTCAACTTTATTTTATTATCAAAAACAAAAAAAAAAACTATTTATTTGCACTCGCAAAAAATTGAGTTAACCTTTATTAAATATTAAAATTCAAAGAACAGGGGCATTAATGTCAATAAAAAAAAACGTTGAAAGGTAAAAAAGAAGTAACATCAGCTTCACTCAGCTGACTATCCAATCCCATGCAGCCACCCAACGACCAGCCGTGGTGAAAGAAAACCGAACCCTCCTCACTTTTCCTCCTCAAAACTACCACTACTCCATCACGCGCCATCTACAGCGCGTCTCATACACTCGCCTCTACTACGCTATAGTAATAAACTATAACCCTTTTTTCTTTCTCTATCGAAATCACAACAACAACAACAACATAAACTAACAACAACCACCGAATTTGTGTTGTGTTGTGTTTTGTTGTTTCAGATTCACAATCTTAAAACCCTTGATTCCTTCCTCATTCTCCTTTAGGTAAAACTCTTCTATTCTTTTTTTTTTCTTCTTTTTTTTCTTATACTCTTTTTTATTTCCGTTCTTTTTTTTTTTTTAATTATTATTTTTCTTCACAGATTCGTTCTAGTTTTTCTCGTGTTTCTCTTTGTGATTTTTGCTGAAATAAGTGCTTTTGTTGATTTCTTAATTGTCATTATTTGTATCGTTTCTTGTTTATTTTGATTTTTTTTATTAATTAAATTGAAAATAATTTATGTATTTTGATTTTGACCTACTCTTGTTAATACGTGCAATGCTTATTGAAACAGTCGTTAGATAGATCGTTAGGTGTGATCTTTTGAGTTTCCAATTCATATCTCTAGATTGTGGTTTTATTATTATTATTATTAATATTTTCATCTGTTTTGGAACTTATTTAAGAAAATAACTATGATGTTTTTAGGGTTGTTTTATTTATTTTTTGCATGATTGCCATTAGGATTGGTGTAGTCAAATTACGAGATACATTCTAGGATTGGTGTGTAAAGATGTAGCACTGACATCTTTGAACAAATGCGTGTCTGGTGTCTGACATGACACAAAACATGTAAAAGATGGTGTCATGTCTGGTGTCTTTGTCTGTGTGCTGTGTCTGACACGACACCAAACATGTTAGTGATGGGGTCGTGTTTGGTGTCTGGGTTTGTGTCCATGCATAAAAACTGTGGTTGATCCCTGCGGTGATTGACTTTGAAGGAAAAAAAAGAACTGAACAGTTCAAGATTGTTTTTTTAAAGTCTTTGATAATAGATGCTAGTTCTTGATGTTGTTTGGAAATTGGAATTTGTACACTAAGCTAGCAACTGGTTTTGTTGCAGTTTTGGTTAATGCTGTTTTTTCAACTTTCTTTACTGTGATACCATACTTCAGAATTCACTAAACTATTTCCTTTTTTTGTTCCGTATGTTCATCTGAGAATCGATTGGTGTGAATCGTGATGATGGTTCATGCAAAGCAGTAACACACACTTTTGTTTTTATTGTGTTTTGTTCATTTGTTTCACGTTAATCTACATAAAAACATGAATATGATTTAAAATGCCGACCGAAAGTGGACTTTCGAAAAGATACTTAACGAGTAATTTAATGTGTTTTACTCTTTTTAGCTTTCTTCCTTGATAAAAACTAATTTTATGTATAGTTTCGATACAATGAATTGTTATATATTGCTTCTTTTGGAAGGCTTTCTTTCCTGTTTATATCATTATTCATTTTATAGCCTATTGCTTTGTTTCCTGTAAACTTTTAATCGTGCACGTTGGTTTACATTTGTTTCCTTTTATCTTTTAATCACGCGTTGATTTACATTTGTTTCCTTTTAAACTTTCATCGCGCGCATGATTTATATTTGTTTCTTTTCTATTATCCCGAATGTGAAATTTGTTTGTCTCCTATATTGCACCATGTTATAATTATGAGCTTAAAATGGAATAATATGATGATATGCCTTGTAAGTATATACGATTTGGGGGTCAAATCTGCTTTTTCATTACTGAACAAATATGAGCTATCTTCTTAGAGTTAAGGATCAATGTTATATCCGAATAAGCATGAAGATTTTATCATTATTGGACAAATATGGTTACAATCTAGTATTGTTCTATTTTCTCCTTATTGTGTCATAGTCTTGCGAAGTAATTGTGACATATCTTTATTCATATTTAGATTAAGTATGTTTTCGATCCTTATAAAATCCGAATTTGGTTTTGGTTGCATAATCTTTAATCACTGTTTTTTTGTTCTAATGTCAAACAAAGTCATTCAACTACTTATGTGTCTAACACTCGACCTAGTATCCGTTTCAGGTGGCACGTAATAATGTCGGTGGTGCCTTGTTAGCATGTGACTCCCTAAAATGATTTCATATTCTAAAGAGATGGGAAACCAAAGAAAACATTTTACACGAACAAATACCAAAATTTGCTCATTTTATGGGGTCTAAGAACAAATTCAGATTTTGGAGGAATGAAAATCAATGAAGAAATTTTGTAGGGACCAAAACCAAAATTTTCTAGTTATGGTTATGGAGACCAAAATTATACTAAAAAACATACTGTTTTAATTTTGTTATATGGAAGTATTTGACTTTGTGAACCTCATATGGCATCTTATTTAGGAAAATATAATATTGATTAATGATGTGGTACAAGATTTATTCAAATTTTCAGTAATAAATTAGTTAGGTGAGGCTATGAATATTGTCCTCAAAATCAATCTTGGTTACTATTTTAATAGGATTTGTTTTTCGTTCCTTAAAAGTTGGCAATATAAATTTTGATCTATCTGTAATGTTCTGTTATTTTTATATGCAATTATGAAATATTAATGCATTAGTTAATGTGTGTTCCTGTTATGCCTAGAGTATAATTATGTAGCATATATGACATATAATCTTCCCAATATGTGTTTTAGAATTTGTTCCTTAAGATACTTTCCATAAAAGTGTATTGAATGCTTAATGTGTATAAAGATTTGCAGCAGTTTCAATAGAGATTTGCGTAATAAATTCATAATCAAGACTTTAACAGTTGCTCTTGTCCCTGCATAGAGTCTAGTCTATATAAAGGTTATTCCAAACTCTAGCACCTGTACATTGGATCCTCGTCCAAGAATCGCGATATTTATTGACTATAGTGATGCGCATGTAGTATCGACTCTGTCAAGATATCTCTTTTCTTTTTCTATTTGTATGTTAGGGAAGACTTGACGCTTACGAGGTGTTGATTTTTGCATACTAAACTTTTGTCTTTGTATTCATGTATTTCGTCTTTTAGGTTTCTGAATCATCCGAGAGTGCCCAATGAAGATTCAAAGACTGCAGAACTCTTTCACAAGTTTCTGAAATCCAGTCGAAAAAGGAACTTCTTCGAACCTGCTTCAATAAAGTAAAAAAGAGTTTATTCCTAATAGCAGGATGACTGTAAAGAAACAGGACTCGAAAAAAGTTTCTGGCCTCGGCAATCAATCTTCAAGGAAGCTACATCGCAAAGGAGAGAACCCTATTCGGTTCGTACCGGCTGCTGAACCTCCTCCTGATAACTCACATTCAAACTCGTGGATCTGTAAAAACTCTGCTTGCAGGGCAGTTTTATCCAAAGAGGACACATTCTGTAGAAGGTGCTCTTGCTGTATTTGCCACCTTTTCGATGATAACAAAGATCCTAGCCTTTGGTTGGTATGCAGTGAATCTTCTCAAGGGGACTCATGTGGATTGTCTTGCCATATCGAGTGTGCCCTTCAACATGAAAAAGTCGGAGTTGTTGATCATGGACAACTTATGCAACTTGATGGCGGTTATTGTTGTGCCTCCTGTGGTAAAGTTACTGGGATTCTCGGGTGAGTAATTTTCTTCACATTCTGTGTTATCGATGTTGTATCTATTTCGGCCATGGTTATTAGTATCTTACTATCTTACAATACATGCTAGTCGTATCTCGATTTGATACAAACCATTTCTATTGTCTGCGTTGTTGACAATATTGGTGATTCATGTTTAATAATGGCAGATGTTGGAAGAAGCAGCTAAACATAGCTAAAGATGCTCGGCGTGTGGACATACTATGTTACAGGATATATTTGAGCTACAGGCTTCTGAATGGTACTGTGAAATTTAAAGAATTGCATGACATGGTACAAGAGGCAAAGGCTAAACTGGAAAAGGAAGTTGGTCCAGTTAACGGCGTTTCTTCCAAGATGGCACGCGGCATTGTCAGCAGACTCCCTATTGCCAGTGACGTGCAGAAACTTTGCTCTCTTGCTATTGAGAAAGCTAATGACTGGTTGGCTACCGATGACAATCCCGAATCCAAAGGTTTGAACTGTCTCTCTCCTTTTCTGATATACTTCCTCTGTCCTAAAATATAAGCCCTCTTTTCGGAAAAAAATCGTCCTTAAATATCAGAGCTCTATTTCAGATTACTAGACACATGAAATTTTTTGGTGGTATATTAATATGATGAGTTCGTTTGACTCGCAGAGGGATCGCTTCCTGCTGCATGTAAGTTTGTGTTTGAAGAGATAACAGCTTCCTCAGTCAAGATCATTTTACTTGAAATGTCGAATGTAACTTCCGAAGACATTAAGGGGTTCAAGCTCTGGTATTACAAGAGTAGGGTGGAATCACACACACAAGAACCTGTTTGTGTGTTTCCAAAAGCTCAGAGGAGGGTTTTGATATCCAACCTCCAGCCTTGCACAGAATATACTTTTCGGATTGTATCTTATACAGATATCGGTGACCTTGGTCATTCGGAGGCCAAGTGTTTCACCAAAAGTGTTGAGATATTGGAAAAGATTCCGACTTCATCAATTGACATGAATACCAAAAAGGAGAATACTCAATCTGAAGGAGGCAATGAATTGGGATCCAAAATAGAGCCTGATTCTACAATGGCTGACTCTGGATTCAAGGTCCGAGACCTTGGAAAGATTTTGCACCTTGCATGGGCTCAAGAACAAGGTTGCATAGAGGGGTTTTGTCGTTCCGATATGAAAAACTGCTGTGGTCAAATTGAAACGGTCAAGCCTAGCAACCCGGTTGAGCAGTCCGCACCGCCTTTGGTTTCTCGAGACCTTGATCTCAATGTTAGCTCTGTGCCTGACTTAAACGAAGAACTCACTCCTCCTTTCGAGTCTTCTCGTGATGAGGACAATGGTTGCACTTTGCAGCAGGCCGTTGAGGCAGATGATGATGCTGCCTCTCACGATTTAGAGAAAAACCTAGCAAGACCACATGGTAGTGGTGGTTCTGAAACATGGAACCATAAACCGGTCGGAGAAGTTCCAGCCGTTGACTCACGCATAGTCTTAGAAGCAAGTAGGAAAAGGGTAGCAAGCACAACTGAAGAAACACATGACTGTGACAGCACCTTAATAAACAGTTCTCCTTTACATGTACCTGATGGTTCATTCTCCTTAGACGAGAATTTCGAGTACTGTGTTAAAGTAATTCGTTGGCTCGAATGTCAGGGTCACATCAAGCAAGAGTTTAGGCTGAAATTGCTTACATGGTTTAGTTTGAGGTCGACAGATCAAGAACGTAGGGTGGTAAATACTTTCATTCAGACACTGATCGATGATCCGAGTAGTTTGGCAGGTCAACTAGTTGACTCATTTTCTGATATTATATCCAACAAGAGGCCCAGAAATGGATTCAGTAATAAGGTTGTGTCGTTAAATTAAGAAGGGTGCGAGTGGAATCTTGTTACACAAGATTTCTCTTTGATTCAAGATTACTAGTACTACCATTTTGATTGTTTTTGCCTTTCATTGTACAGGCATTTTTTATTACTCATTGTGATTCATTATTATTAGGACAAGTTAATTGCCCTGCTAAAATTGGATTTGCACTGATATGCCAGCAGAGACACTGAATCATTTTTCCTTTGAAAGGGAGAGGATCTTTGGACTTGAAGTTTCAGGATGTAGAAGGCATTTTTCTATTTATTAAATTATTGCAATTTATTTTTTCAATCATGATATTTAATCATGGAGGATATTGAATATTTAGTGTTGAACTTTATTGTTTACTTTCATTTGACAAGCAACATTATAGTATTGCTTTTTGTAATAGTCATGTCCTGTCATTCACTTTGTTATCTTGTTTTGTTTCTCACTTCACTGCCGATATGAGAGAATCCAAGTCTCTATTTTGGATGATCAATATTGAAATATGAAGGAAGCTTGATGAGCAAGTTACTCTGATGGTTGAAAGATTCTATTATGTTGTTAGTGGTTCATCTATTTATTTTTTGTATGTAGATAGATATAGAAGAAATAAAATATCAGTTATGTGAAGTTTTAACATGAGATGGTTGCCTAACTAGTCATCGACATATTTTAGTAAAATGTGGTGTTAATATATTGAAAATTCGAATTATAATTTGATATATTGAAAGTTCTAATTACAATTTAATATATTGAAAGTTCTAATCAACTACCTAACTAAGATCGGAAGATGCTTAGGCACTTCTAATCTTATTCTTTAAGCAAATTCAGATTTACACTATAATATACCCCTTTTTGTAATTGACTAAATAAAATTATACTATCCAATCAAATACTCCGAAACATCTAAGTGGCACATCATTTTTTTCAAATCTCATTCCTTTTTCGCCTGGTCGTATTCAAGATCTGGTTGAAATGGGCATCTGTCGCCTACAAGAAGTATCTTTTGTGGTAAGCAATAAATTGTCTGCATAGTTCTGTTTTGTTCTCTCTTACTAATGAGTTGTTACTCAATATCTAATTTATTTCCTTAGATTAACATGTTCCACATTTAATCTATTAGACACTTTGGTTCAATTAAAAGTTTGTTTCAATGTCAACTCTGCTCTCTGATCCTTTAACAGTGTCTGCATTTTAGAGTAATATTGTTGTCTCTGGTGGTAATACGGGACACAGAGACACATGTTCGAGCATCAACACGGGACACAGATCGAGCAAAGCTTTTCAAAAGTCATAATCGATTCAAACACTGTCTTAAGATTTTGCTCATTTATTCTCACTTGATTTTTGGTTTAATGATTCTTGATTATTTTACAAAGGTATTTGATTGAAAATTTTCTATTTTGCTTTTTGAATTTAAACTTTAAATTTAGAGGTTTTATTTGTGGTTACTGTGTGGATGCCCTAATTACAATCTCTTATTTCTCGAGCCCTTGGTTCTTCACAATTTTAGTTTATATATTCTCCATAGATGATTTATATATGCATAAGTGTTTTGGATTTTTCCTTGACAAAGGTGGTTATTTAATTCTTTCAATGATTAAAATTTTGTTTGGATTTATAGTAATCAATTTTTCAATCTTTTGTTATGCAGATTCTTATAAAGCATAATTGTATGGTAATCAATTTATGTGCAGGTATTGAACTTCTCTTTTACCAATACTTCTCTTTCACAACTTTATTGTTTCCTGCTTAGTTTTTAATCCGGTTTTTAAAAATAGAATTGTTGCATTGACTTATAAGGAAGCACATGGAAGTAGCACTAAAGAAGGACATGTAATTGACACTATCGATGGTGGTGAAAATAGCCAGTCAACACAGGTTTAAGCACTATGTTGACATTTCGCTAATGTTGGATATTTTTTCTGATTTCAGGAAAAACTTTATCAATTGATCTGGAGACAAAAGAGTGTATTGAGATCTTCATCTCTTCTGGGCAAACTTGTTGATTACTTTGTGAGTGAAATTTTCAAATTTGGTTTTGCCTTTAATTTTTCCATACATTTTTCTAATTATTGTATCTAATAGTTTGTATTTTTTTGTTAACTGACACACGAGCCGTTAATTTGTTGAATGAGATTTATTCTCTGATTTCATTGCTAGAAAGTTGTATAGTATGATTTTGTTGAGCCTCACTGGTATCCTTCTCTAATGGATTGTAGCAGGGACCACTACTTCAACTAAAGAATCCTTTAAGTTTTTCAATTTCAAAAAGAGTAAATGCATCATATGTGTAACATTCCGATTTTCTTTATTAATTATTTTATTATTTAATTTTCATGTTAATTATTATTTGGTTTGATAATTATTTATTTATTTGATTTTGTGTGATTATGTGAATAATTGATTTAATTGGAACAAGTGTGTATTATATGTTATTGGATTATTGAGTGTGAGAATGATAAAATGCACATTTGGGTCTTATATTACATTAGAGTGGGTGAGTGGAGTTAAGCCCATTTAGAGTTAGTAAGAGTTGAACAAAGTAAGGAAAATATAGAATTAGAAAGAGAAAGTGAAGAAAACAAGAGAAGAGAAGAAAGAGGAAAAGAAGAGAAGATGATAGAACCCTAGAGTATCTACATCCAAGGTAATAGTGAGTATTATTTATTTATGAGTGTATGTAATGGTATGTGATAGGTAGTAACATGAAATTAGGGATCTATTCTTTAATTTCTAGATTTTGACATGTTAGAGTTTGAATGAGGAATCATGAAATTGATGTTGGAAATCATGTTTTGATGTTTGTATTTGATGCCATATGTTAGATATAAGTTATAATACATTTAATTGGTGAAATATATATGTTTGAATGAGATTTGGATGGACAAATTCGTAGGAGGTAGAAGCTGTCAGTAGCAGAATTTTTTTGCATAATCGCGAGGCCGCTTAGCGCGCGTGGGGCCGCTTAGCACGATCTGGAATGCAAAACTTTATATTTTCTGAAACTGTTTTGGTTTATGGATGCTTATGATTTATCATTGATTTACATGAATTTTAATAATTGATTCATTGTGTTTTGGATTGGTTTTAGATGACTTTTGATGAGAAACATGATACTTGATTTTGTGTATGTAATTATTGGGAATTGATGCTGATTGAAGATAACATGGTTTGGACTTGTTTGCTACATGTTATAATGATGTGTTGATATGATTAACGTTATGAGAATGCATTGTGTGTGATTGATGACATAAAATATGTATGTTGTGTAATTTGGTGAAGATAATTCAAATGTGTTGAATTATGTGAGATATGCTTGTATGATTAAGATATGGAGACTTAATTGCATATGATTATTGAGATTTCAAATACATCATTTGTGTCAAGAGGAAATTTTTGGTAATTCCGTGGGAATTATTGACTTGTCCCAAACCTGGAGATGGGGGTTTGAAAGCTTAAATAACAGGTTTTTTTGGTGATCTATTTTGGAGATGCGGATCCGGTAGGACCAGTAAGGATAACAGTCGGTACCACATGTATATTTCATTGGAGTCGCATGTATCGATGTGAATGCTGAATTGATGTGCAATATGTGATATTGGTGTGAATGTTACATTCGTGGTATTTGTGATTGATTATCTTTGAATCTTGAATTATTGAGCAATGTTATATATGAAATCATGTGAATTATGTTGAAGTATGTTGAATACATGATTATGTGAAGTGTGATGAATCCAATTGATGTATGTTTGTTATGCATTACTTATTATTATATATTTCCATAATGATATGAGTTCTCACCCTTATGTTGAAATGATGTTTTATATGACATCGCTCAGGTATCAAGGATATCGGTGGTGCTTCTAGCAAGGAGTAGTTGGAGGATCTAATCCTTTATTTATCCGTTTTATTAGGTAGTGAGTCATACTATGGTCTATGTAACACGGGAAACGTTTGAATTCATGTTATTTGTGTTATATTCATGTTTATTTGAGAGATATTGTTATACTCTCTGGATATTTATGTTGGATTGAGATGTATGTGGTGATGACCTTTAGTGTCTAATGCTTTATGTTATGATTGTCAGTATGAGATTTCAATCATTAGTATCATTATTTTGAGTTGAGAATTACTCCGCGCGAGATGCATATGAGTTATTGTATGAAACATGATTCTAAATGCGTGTTATGAATATGACTTGTGTTCTTGAGTTTCGTGAAGTAAATGTGATACCCTCGTCTGATATGCATGCTAATTTACTCTGATTATGCTATATTATTTTTGCGGGGTTTAGAGGATGTTGCAATATGCAACTCTAAGTCTTTGATTTAACACCAAAAGTATTAAAAGATAGTCTTCATTTGAGAAAGATTTCAATCATGCCAAACAAGATGCAATCCTTCAAGAATCAAATTTAACATTAGTTTTAAAGCTCAACCATTCTCATAACAAGTTACAAAAGAATCTACTTAGAACATGACTCGGTTAAAAGTTGCATCAATACTAAATACCGATTTTAATTTTTTAAGAATTGATAAAGTAGGAAAACTTTCCAAACAGTAGAACAATATATCAGTTAAAAGTTACAGAAAGTTGGATACTTTTACTTTACCTTAGTCCAATATTAATATATAGTTCTTCAGCTCTTTTCGAATATGATCAATGTTGAACATGTCTGATTCAAAAAATGGTGATGTTTGTGCATGTATGATGCTTGTGCAGGTAAAAAGCAATATGAGTTGAGATTTTGAATAGGATCAATATTGAACATGTCTGATTCATATGGCAGTACCATATTCTTCATTCATAACAGTACCATATTCTTCAAAGTATCATTTTGAACCATTTTCTTCATTTTCAGTTTTTATTATACAAATCACTTCATTTATCAAGTTTTTAAGAACCATTTTCGTTCTATTTGGCGATTGCATCAAATAACCATTTTCTTTTAATTTTAAGATTCATTATTTTCTATTTGGTCACTGAGTTTGAAAGCTTATTTTTTACAGTAT